GCAGCGGCCCCTCCGCCCACCGCGCAGGGTTACCAGCGGGCGCGGGCTCGGCGGCGGCGCGGGAGAGTCGCGAGGCCCTCAGAGAGGGGGCGGGGGGCCCTGTGGGGAAGGAAGCGTGAGCCCCTCAGTGGGGGCCGCGGGCCACAGCCGGCGTCCTTCCCGCACCCAGCCGCGGGGCCAGCTCGGGGCCACTTACGGTGCTGATGCGCGAAGAAGCCTTCGAAGATCACGAAGTTGTTCACCTAGGAGAAGCAGCACAGGAGACCTGAGTACTCACCCTCCCGGTGCAGAACGGAGGGATAAGCCCGGTGATCGGCCACTCAAACGGACCCACAAGCGGCCCCTGACAGTGAGGCACAACCGCCGAGGTCCTCCAGAAGCCAATCTTGCAAAAGGACAAAACTGGAGAACTTACAGCCTCTGATTTCAACACTTACCTCCTGGAGGCCGGGGGTAGAGCTCAGTGGCACAAGCACCTGCCTGGCAAGTTGCAAGGTCCTGAGTTCGATTCCCGGTACCAAAACTCACCTCATGGAAACTGTGCTAGGAGAGTCTGCGTGCTAGGAACACAGCTTGGCAGTGTGAGGGTGGCGCAGTCAGCAGAGAATCAGAGGCGCAGAAGTAAACTCACATCTGCAGCTGACCCTCCATGGAAGTCCCGACAGGCTGGACAGGAGGAGCATGGCCCTGCCCGAGCCATGCTGCCAAACAGCAGCCACTTGCAAGGCTGAGGGGCTATATAGCTCAGTGGTGGCGCGTCTGACCGCACCGCAAGACTGAGTGTGGACCTTTACCACACACCACAGACAAACACTCCCAATGATCAAGACCTCAATGTAAAGTCTAAAACTATGAAACTCTTAGAAGGAAAGGGGAAAGCCTCTGACCTCATATAGACAATGGTTTCCTTTTCTGTCTTTTCTGAGACAGGGTCTCACTATGTAGCCCAGGTGGCCTTCAACTCATTATCCTGCCTCAGCCTCCCGAGTGCTAGGATTACAAGTGTGTACCATCACACCCGGCTTGTTTCTTTTTTTTCCAGTACTGGGGATGAAACAGGGCCTTGCACAAAAAATGCTAGGTGCACACACTACCCTTGAGCTACATCTTCAGTCCTAAGCAACAGTTTCTTAAATATGACACCAAAGTCTAATAGAAAAATAGATAAACTGAACTTCATCAAAATTAAAACAAGGCAGCCAGGCGTGGTGGCACACATCTGTAATCCCAGCACTTGGGAGGCCTGAGGCAGGAGGATCGTTGGGAGTTCAAGACCAGCTTGGGCTACAAAGTGAGCTCCAGGCCAGCCTGAACTGCACAGTGAGACCCTGTCTCAAAAAGACAAAAAAATACAAAAAAATTGAAAGAAGGAGAACCTTTATGCTTCAAACACACTATTAAGGAAAAGTGACCCAGCTATTAGGGAGGCTCAGGGGAAAGGACCGAAAGTTCAAGGCCAGCCTAGGCAGTTTAGCAAGATCCTGTCTCAAGATTAGAAGAAGGCCTGGGGGATGCTGTGGCAGGAAGACCCTGAGTTCTAGCCCAGCCTAGTGAACTTAGACCCTACTCCAACATGAAATATAAAAAGGGACTGGAGATGTAACAGTGCAAAGGCTTTCGGTTCAACTGCTGGTACCAAAAAAGCAAAACAAAACTCCCATAGAATAAAAGAGTCATAAGTTGTACACTAATAAGGGTGTTATATCTAGACTATCTATTATATATAATTTACTCATTTTTGTGGCGTTTTTTGGTACCAGAAATTGAACTCAGGACCTTGCACTTGCCAGGCAGTTGTTTTTTTGGTCTTTTTGAGAAAGGGTCTCACTATGCAGTTCTGGCTGGCCTTGAGCTCACTTTGTAGCCCAAGCTGGTCTCGAACTCCCAAGGATCCTCCTTCCTCAGCCTCCCGAGTGCTGGGATTACAGGCGTGTGCCACCATGCCTGGTTTAACTCGTACATTTTAAATACAAACATATAACACAATTTAAAAAATAGGCAAAGAAAAAAGTATTTCTACAAACAAGACCCAAACAGGATATATAAATGGCCAGTAAGCAGATACAAAGTTGCTAAAAATGTTTAGTATCATTAGTCATTAAGAAATGTGAATGAAAACTACAAAAGCTTCCACCTCACAACCATAAAGATGGCTACTATTTAGAAAGGGAGAGGTCAGCCAGGGCTAGCGCACTGCCAGGAAGGTGGAGAAACTGGAACCCTCCAGACCGCTTGCCGCAATGGAAAGCAGAACAGCTCCCACATGTGGACAAGCAGTTCACCAGTTCCATAAAAAGCCAAACTGTCACTACAGCACCCAGCTATCCCACTCTTAGACGTATCTTAAAGAAGACTAAACAAAACGTCTAAACAAAATCCTACACGTGAATGATAAGAGCAGAATTATTTATTATAATAGCCAACAAGTGGAAACAAAACATGGTATGTCCACGTAACAGAGTAGTATTCAGCCATAGAAAGGAATGAAGTGCTGCTATCTGCTACAGCATGTATAAACCCCCAAAACACTACACTAAGTGCAGGAAACCAGAGAACGAAAGGCCCTGTACAGTAAGACTCTACATACAGGAAACGTTCAAGATAAGGAAATCCAAATCCCAGATGAGTGGTTTCCAGAAGCTGGGCGAGAGGAAATGGGGCAACTGCTTCCTTTGTGTTTTTGAGCCAGTGTTGCTATGCAGTTCAGGCTGGCCTCAAACTCACGGCAATCCTCCAGTCTCAGCCTCCCAAGTACTGCGATGACAGGCGTGTGCCACTATGCCTGGCCTCACATCATCAAATTTTCTCTGTATAGACTCATTTTTGTCTTATATTTTTTAGTTTAGTTTTTGTTTTTTTGTTTTCTGAAACAGGGTTCCACTATGTAGTGCAGGTTGACTTCGAACTTGCAGTGATCTTCCTGCTTCAGCCTCCCCTCCTGCCTCCTTCCCAATGCTGGGATTGGTTTTTTTTGAGACAGGGTCTTACTATGTAGTTCAGGCTGGCCTCGAACTCAGTAGTATTCCTCCTGTCTCAGCCTCCCAACTGCTAGGATCACAGGCATGTACCACTATGCCCAGCTAATCCTTTCTTGATCCACTTCCTCCTTTAACTATCTAGCTATCTACTGATCTGTTCCCCTTGAAGTGACATTTATTTGCTTTGCTGAACACTGAACCAGAGTTTTGTATACAGACAAGCTCTCTACCACTGAGTTACGCTTCCTACCCTTAAAATAGCATTTTAAAAAGTGGCCGGCACCTGCCTATAATCCCAGCCCTGAGGAGGCTGAGACAGGTGCATTGCCGGGAGTTCGAGGCCAGCCTGAACTACACAGTGAGACTCTGTCTCAAAGAGAAAAAAAAAGCGGCCAATTCTTGCTGCTTCCCGTTCCTAGCTTCTCAATCTCCTACTGTCCCCTCCAGGCTCCCATCTACCCCTGCACTGAAACAGCTCAGATTCAGCAACGGCCCCAGACAGCCAAACCCAGCAGACACCTTGCCCACCTCTTATCTGGCCCAGAAGCCACTCCTTCCTGTCTTCGAGGTCTTCATCCCAGGACAGTGCCTCCTTGCTGTTTTCCCCAACCCCGCCTTCTGGTCATTCCTGCCCTGTTTTTCTTAAAAAGTCCACGAAGCTCAAGTCCTTAGACCTCGTCTCAATCGCTACTCCCCCTTTGGTTACCTCATCCTGTCTTGTTGCTTCAATAACCTACCTACGCTCAAATCTCTCTGCCCAAATCCTTTCCTTCGGGCATCTTCAGCGAGGAGCCCAACTGTCTACCTGCGTCTCCCCTGCGTGTTCGTCACCCAGGAGCCAAGATGATCTCGTTACAAACGACACCATCACGTGCTCTTGTTTTCCACTCAGTCAACTCCGCAGTCTTTGCAGGAACCTGTCAGGCCCGGGATCTGTTCCTCCTCGACTCCCTCTAAGCTCCCAGCTCAGCACTCACCCTTCCCTCAGGCTGCTCGTCCGCTGGGCACCCCCGCCTCGAGGGCTTTGCAGTGGCCGCTTCCTGCCTGGGATGCTCTCCTTCTCTTGGAGTACTGGCCAAGCACCCTCCCACAGAGCTACACCTCCAGCCCAGACACTCACTTTCCATAAACTGCTGCTCAACAACACATTTCAGTGCGGTCTTCTCCGACTGGCCAGGTGAACCTGCAGTCCCACCCTCCCACCTCCCCGCCTTGGCACGCCCAAGCCTCCTCCCTTGCTTTCATTTTCCAGAGCGCCTATCATGAACCAAGCATATAGTCCGTTTATGTCCCTCCTCCCCCAGCTAGAACACAAGGTCCACAAGGGGCCATTTCTGTCTCTTTCACTGAGTAAAGCATTCCTAGCATCCACAACAACATCAGGTGCTCAATAAATATTTGTTGAGTGACTGTACAGCATTAGTAACACATTACTGTACTTATAAACAAGATCACCTTCCCCATGTTACAACATAGCTCTTCGAGGACAGGCAATATATATTATTGTGAAGCTTCAATAAATGTTGGCTGACTGGGTAACGGGCTGTGTTAAACCAAGGAGATGTGCTAGGGGGTGAAGATCAGGTGCAGACACAAGCCATAAAGGTGAAATGGCTGCACGCGAGCAATGGAGAAAAAGAAAGGGCTTAGCTATGTGAAACACAGCCCACACCACAGGGAGTAAGGCGCTCTTCAGAGGTGCCCTGTTTCCCCAGTGGGGATATTCAGTGCAGCCCAGCCCGAGCTTCTAACCTGTGGGACTGTGGTCTCCAGGCTGTAGTGCTTATTCAGGAACTTCAGCAGCTTCTGTGAGGGTCGGTCAATGGCCAGCTGATGTGGTTCAACCCGTTCCTTCTGCAGGGAACAGGAGACTTGGGGTAGGAGGAAGTCTGGGGAAAGCATGCCAACAGGAATCCCGAGCCTGGGAAGGAGACAGGAGGCGGCCATGGGAGCACTTCGGGGGGCTGGGGCGGCAGGGCCTGTGGAAGGGCTTAGGGCAAAGGCTCTTTATTTTGGAGACTCAGTGGGGCTGCGGGTACCTGCAGCATGTACTGGAAGAGCTCTCGCCCGTGGCCATGACGCTGCAGGGACTCGTGTATGTAAAAGTCCAGGATGCAGAGCGGTTCCACCTCATTGTGAGCCTCGCGGTCATCCTGAGGGATAGAGGACAAATCTCTTTAGAGATCCAGGCGTCCTTGTCACCTCTCAACCTCCAGCACTCTTCTCTGGAACCAAGGCATTCAGGTCCCCAGCTTCCAGCAACACTCACCAGCACAAAGAGCTTCTTGTATCCAACTTTGAGGAAACCAACAATGGCTCCCTTCCCAGCCCTGCAGGAGGAGGACAACAATGAACAAGCCAGTGGCAGCCGTCTGGAGGAGGTAGAGTCAAAGGAGGGGAAGGGCGGAGGGAGCAAGAGGTAGGAATGGGCGCAGGTGCAGGGCACTCACGGCCGGGCAGAAGTGTCTTTGAGCACGTAGATGACGTGGCGGTTGCTCTGCATCCTTGACGCACTGGTGATTGGGGCAGGAAGATGCTGGGCCTGTGGACAAGATGAAAAGGCAGACTCCACAGATCCCCTGCGAAGCACCCAGGCCTCCCCCGGTCCGAGGCCCGCTACCTTGGCAGAAGCCTTGCCCAGCTCATCGACAATGGTCATGATTTGCTGCTGCAGGTCAACGCTGTGGGAAGACGAGACCGTCAGACACTCGCTCAGGTGGAGGCTGCCGGGAACCTGGGCATCCTCCGGCCAGGTTCAAGCTTCCCGCGTCCCTGCCTTTGCCTGGGACTTCCCACCAGATCCCCGCACCGCCCCTTGGGAACCCAGAGTTTGGTCGCACCTCCCGGGGGGGACCCTCCTCCCTCCCTTGAGGTCACTACGGGGAGCAGGGGGGGCGAGCCAACCACGGCCTGTGGTCGGGACCACATCGGGCCACGGGCTGGAAGCCACGTTTCCAAGCACTGCTCAGTGCCGCCGGGCGGAGGGTCACAGGGCTGGGCCGGGACGGCGAAAGGGGCGGCCGTCGGCCCGAGAGAAGGGGGCGTGGCGCCTGGCCCGCTTTGGCGAGGCACGCGGGAAGAAGGGCCACGGGGCGGGATCGAGATGTCACCGGGCCGGCGTTGTGGTTCCGGGTCGGCGGGCCGGGGGCCGCAGGTGCTGGTCCAGCACGGTGATCCGCTCCGGGAGCAGCGCGTCCACATCGAAAGGGAACTCCATGGCCCATTGTGCGCGGCCGGACCCGCCCGCGCGACGTCACTTCCGCCC